ACTTATCAACACCTGAAGACGAAGTTCAGCTAATTTGAATTGCCACTGCAAGCGCGTGAAGGCAACCAAGCCATCCATCACGAATCCAACGTCTCCTCTTCACGCGTACCGCTTCGCTGGTTATGATGAAGCTGACACCATGGATCACGCATCGGACGGCTCCCCGACTTGGACGCGTCGTTGTTCACTTTCCAGCAAAAGGCTTACAGCCTCAACCACTCTGTATCCATTTTCTCTCTTTCTTTTCTTGGTTTGTAAGGCTATAAAGCCAGTGTTTGGAGACGCGAGAACCATCTTCCAGTTTTCTAAGGTTTCCCCCTTTGCGCCGCCAGTGTTCCTGGTTGGCTAAGTTCCTCTGTAAGAAGCTCGAACGCTCTAATCTTTCCTCTGAAAGTGAATGAAATAGCCAAGTTCAGACTTGTTTCTCTGAATCTAGTTCTTCAGGCCCCCTTGGGTCTGACAACAGTGTCTAGATTGCTTCTGCCATCCAACGAGGTCCCCTAAATGTCCGCGGACTAGTCTGCATGCCTGAAGTTTGGTGTACTGGCCACAAACTTGAGGATGTTTTGCGGGCGTCTAGATATTTGCATGTCCAACCAAAAGCAACCACGTGGCCCCCTCTCTTCTCTCTTCTGCAAACGCGGTGGACGACAAGCAAGCTCGAGCTCGCCCTTGGCAGTGGCCATGGACGCAAAAACTAAAGCGTGCGCACACACAAGGACCCCGGAGTTCTCCTGGCCACAATGTGCCTGACCGAAAAAATCCCCGAGCTCGTCCTTCTCGGTGCACCGGCACCCACCGCACGAAGTGGTTTATCCGTGTGATGGGTACAGATCACAGGGAACAAGTCTCACAATCAGTAGGAACAAATCTCTCAAATCACAGGGAACAACTCTCAATCACAAGTTGTTGCTTATGTCATTATGACCGTCGATGGCGTGTATCCGTTCTCCAGTGCACACAAAGTGTTTGATGAAATGCGTACACGAACAAGACCGGACAAATAAAATAAATCTGATAACTACTCCCTCCATCCGAAAATACTTGTCATTAAAATGGACAAAAAAAGATGTATCTAAAACTAAAATACATTTACATACATCCCCTTTTATTCATTTTGATGATAAGTATTTCCGAACGAAGGGAGTACGATTGAATGGCCGGCTTCCGCAACGGTGTTTCCTGGGCAGCGCATAGGGTACGAGATACTGAGGGCCCCAGGCAGTCAGGCACTAGGGAATGAGAGCGCTACAGTGTTCTACAGAGAAACAATCGTGGGTGCGCTGAGAGGTGGAAAGCGACGGGGGGTATGCACCGGCTAAAAAGCAGATCCACAGCCGGTTGACGCCTAGTCCAGTGTGCTCCATGTTCTAGTAGTAATCTGTGTAAAAAGTTTGATAGATAGATGGAGTGATTCCTCTTCCACTCGGTGAACAGCTAGCTGCCTATAAGAGCTCTCCTTCGGCGCTGCGTCGGCGTGAACTCAGTTCCCAAATTAAAAACCCTAGACCCCATATACTCTCTGCTACTCTGTTAAGCATCCGTGAGAGGATCGGGAGAGAGCTCGGGTTGCTCTTGTTGATCAGGAGGCGGAGCCGGCTTCTGGTGGTGGCGGGGAGGTCGCGGGTGCGGGTTCTCGGCCTCGCCGGTGGCCAACTGCAGCAGCGAAAGTCCCTACAATGGATCCTTCAAAGTAAAGTTTTGATCACTTTGCGGTTGTTTCTGCAGCATTTTTAAAATGTCTGTTACTAATGGCGGCTTCTGCATACTGACAGAGCATCGAAGAGGCCTGTTGGAATTCTATTTGTGAAGGTTGTAAGAGCTCAAAATCTGGAAAAGAAGGGCCTGTTGGGTAGTAAATCAGATCCGTACGTGAAACTTAAGATGTCGGATGACAGGCTTCCATCCAAGAAAACAAGAGTAAAGCGCAGCAATCTCAATCCGGAGTGGAATGAAGAATTCAAATTTGTTGTGATAGATCAAGAGAACCAGTCGCTGGATGTTAATGTCTTCCACCGGGCACAGGCATGGCTTCCTTCCTTTGTTCATCAAGTCCCAACTGGATTTTCTTTTCGTATACACTACCATATTAAACTGCCAAAACGTCTTACATTTCTGAGCATTGGGTGTAATATGCAGCTAAGCTATTTCTTTGATATATCCTAGGTTGGTAAACATGCGAAGATGGGCATGAACAGGGTTCCGTTGAAAGAACTTGCCCCGGAGGAGACTCAAGTTTCGACTCTTAACTTACTGAAGACCATGGATCCAAATGATGTACAAAATGAGAAATCTCGTGGTCAGATTACTTTGGAGGTGACATATAAGCCTTTCAAGCAAGAAGAAGACATGGAGGAAGAAAGCATGGATGGTACTGAAGAAGCAAAAAATGCTCCAGAACATACTGATCAAGTACAGAAAGCCCCAGACAATGCTCCAACTGGTGACGGGTTGCTTTTGGTCGTTGTTCACGAAGCTCAAGATCTTGAAGGGAAGCATCACACAAACCCATACGCAAAGATAATCTTTAACGGAGAAGAGAAGAAAACAAAGGTATTTGTAACTACTCCCTCCGTCCCAAAATTCTTGTCTTAGATTTGTCTAAATACGGATGTATCAAGTCACGTTTTAGTATTAGATACATCCGTATCTAGATTAGTCTAAGACAAGAATTTTGGGTCGGAGGGAGTATTTAGAAAGGTTATGATGTGTTCGCATGCTTTATGGCACTTGAATTTCCCTCCTCTGTACTAGGTGATTAAGAAGAACAGGGATCCACGTTGGGAGGATGAATTTGAGTTTGCTTGCGAGGAACCACCTACAAATGATAAGTTGCATGTTGAAGTCCTAAGTAAACCTGGAAAGATAGGAGGAATATTACATGGCAAGGTACGATATTCTACAAGAAATGCCTGGCCCTTAATTGATGTAGTAATTCGCTTACAAGCATTCTGGTTGCTCCGCAACTACTCCCTCCGTTCCCAAATATTTGTCTTTCTAGAGATTTCAACAAGTGACTACATACGGAGCAAAATGAGTGAATCTACACTCTAAAATAAGTCTACATACATCCGTATGTTGTGTCCATTTGAAATGCCTAGAAAGACAAATATTTGGGAACGGAGGGAGTATATTAGAAGAAATATCCATAAGGGAGAGCCTCAAAATTCCAGCTTGCAACAGATATTTGATACTACTTTTATTTCTTCAGTTTCTTTTGATCTGATCATATGAATAAGAGGGTTCGAGACTATATCTCTTAATGGCATTTCTTAGTACAATGGCTGGATTGTACGAAATTGTCCCGTCACTTTGCTTATATAATGTTGTCACAGGAAACCTTAGGCTTCATTGATATAGCCCTGGCAGGCGTGATCAGCAACAGGCGGACCAACGAAAAGTACCGTCTCATCGGCTTGAAAAATGGGCAGATTCAAATCGAGTTGCAGTGGAGAACTTCATAGAAGCTGTGAGCAAGGTGCCAAAATGCTGTGGCGCACGAGGGTTCGTGCCGTGAAGCAGCTTGCGAAAACATGTAATGGGCTCTATACAGACATTCCTTTATCTCTATGCAGATATTCCTTTGTCTCCACTCTCCAGAACATCTGCTTGATCTGGTTGAGATTTCTGTTAATTACTCAAAAGTTTCGTCAGAACAACGTAGGCTCGTTGTCAACAACAGAGATGGCGTTATAACTTCATGTGCTGATAGGGTGCTCACGGTTGAAGATATACTTACCACGTGAACAGACTGAAATTTGAACTGTTGTATTTATGAAATTGCACTTCACACCACCTGTGTGATACCATGCCAAAACAACCCTGCTATCATGTGCAACTAGTCTAAATTTTGGTAGTGCAAACAGCACACCTGCACAAATTCTGAAGTATATCAGCATAGGAAGCCTGAGAGAGAAGGCGGCGCGGGGCTATAGAAGCCGGTGCAATCACAGGAATAAATGGAAAACCAATCCCAGATCACACCATCTGCCGGATGATAAAAAACCGCAGCTCTTCAAAACAGCCAGATTTTGAATGATTAACAGCTAGAAGCCAGGCAAAAAGAAAGGAAGGCAAGGCCTCGAGTTCATTTACAGCAAGTAAACGAGCTCCAGGCATTTCTATGCCTAGACTAGTCACCAGGGGTACCAGACCAATGTTGGCTCTGTAAAATCAAACTCTCTTCCAGCCCTACTACCATCACACTAAAGTCTACAAACTGTATACATTTTATACAGTGACCAGAGGCAATGCCACTCTCATCAGGTCAGCAGCCTCTTCATGTCGAGCCCCCGGTCCGAGCTCCGCTTGAAGTTGTACACCGACTCGAACGCCTCCATGCAGACGCTGGCGAAGCCCGTCATCGCCTGGAAGACGTTGGGGAAGCCCGTCTGAAGGTTGTTCAGGGTCATCGCCCTCGTCACCCCGACGCTCTTCTCGTGCTTGCTCTTCTCGTCGTCGGCTCTGCTCCTCAGGGCCTCCACCTTCGCCCGCTTCTCTGCTACCGGTGTCTTCCGCGTCATCTCTCCATAGCCTTCAGCAGAGTACGGCCCGTATTTGGACTCCAGAGATCGCAGTTCCTCTGTCTTCTTCTCAAAGTCTTTGAATGCAGCATCTGACCTCTTCTTCTGCTTCTGCTCCTCCGCCTGCTGGACTACCACGGCGTGGATCACTGAAAGGAGGGTTTTGATCCCTTCCGAGGCCACCTTGTCGGGGATCCGGTCGATGGCCAGCTGCCACTCCTCGCACAGGCTGTAGATGTCGGAGTTCTGGATGTCTTTCATGAGTGGGTTGTGATGGCATTGGAACAGGGAGAGGCGAAGCCAGCCGGTCAGCGAGTAGACATAATCTCTCTGGGACTTAACCAGGCTGCAGAACGCTGAGTACCACCTGTCCACCTCGATCTCGAGCTGGAGAGCCGCTTGCCGATGGTCATTGGAGGTTGGGTTGGTACTCATGGTGAGGTATTCAAGCTGCTGCACCATGTGGGTCTGCACCTGATGGCACTCATACATGCCCCTCCACATGCTCATCAAGCTGAAATGGAATGCATTCACAAGAGGAAACATGCATGAGAACAGAGCAACCATACATGTTTACCCAAGAAAGGGAAATGTACTGCCAGGAAATAAATTTTGCATCTAACTATCTGACTTGTACTTTAAGAGTATTGATATTCACATGGGGTAGCTGGGTATTCTAGTACACAAGCAATTGAAGTAAAGTGCGGCAATGAAACTGCATAATGGACAATGGGTAGCAGGAACGAATAGGAGGTTTTTGTATTCAGTAATATCAAAGTAATTCTTTCATTCAGAGGCATCATGATGTTAGACAAAGTATACACCAAGGTTGGCTCAGTGTATCATTGATGGAAAACTGTACAAGGGCCTGAGAAGTGCGAGCGAGACACGCAACTGCAGATGCCAAAGCAGAGGTGCCATGAACAAGAGACTCGCATGATCTTTCCTCTTTCTCCTTTAAGAAACCAAAGTTCTTTGGACACTGTTGAACTAGCCAAGCCAGCTATCATGTTCCAAACCTCCTAGAGGCACACTTCTTAACAGCACCAAACTAGTCATCAGGCAACGGCGTGCCAAACACCACGACCACTATCACCTCAAAGGTTCGATGTTGCAAGTAAGTAAGCTGCAGCCACCATTGCCCAAAGGGGTCACTCAGCTGGACCAGGCAATGAGGCAATGAAGCCTGGGGTGGGGGACTGGGAGATCTCTCAGGCAGGCCTAGCTAGCACTGACCGAATCGGTGAGCAGGAGATTCAGTCAGGACAGTCAACACCACTATCACATTACTCCACTACTTGAATGCTCATCCTTCCAAACCAGTGAGTGTTGACTTGGTACAGTGCCAAAGGTGCAGCATGGTCTGAATCTAATGTTGGCAGGATCAAAACAGCAAAAAACTAATGGCACTGCTCTTCTCACGGGCCTCAGCTGGGAATGAAGGCCCCTTACCGTGGTCCATATGTCCTAGCTAGCCATACGAGCAAGTATGCAAGAAATGCATGGTACAAGATGAAGTAGAGAGACATGTGAGGTACTAGTACAGTAGTACTTGATGCATACGGTACATGAATGACTGGTAGAGTGATGGTGGTAGTGTGGTACTGACCCAGCAACCAGCTCAAGTAGCTGAGGAAACAGCTCGGATTCTCTCAGCCTGATGATCTCGGAGGTGGTGGTGTCGATGGACTGGGTGGCCACCAGCATCTTGGACTCGAGGCTCTCCATCTCCATCCTGTTCTTCTCCATCTTGAGGTAGTCCACGCCCCTCACCTCCTGCTTCCTCAGCAGCCCCACCTTCTTGTCATGCTCCTGCTTAAGCCCCTCGTAGTTCTGCTCGATTTGTTTGCGCCGTTAGTTTAAAGAAAGCGGCGACGGTAATAGTATGTGGTAAGTTTTGATGCGATAAAAGGGGCAAAAATTGACTCTGCAAAGCCATGCATGCACTATTCCTATCTCTATCAAAAGAAGCACAAGGATTTGTATCTTTAAAGCTGTAGAAACTAAAGCTGACATTTCATGATTACTTAGTGAAAGGCGATGAAACAGCCTATCTTTAGTTCTTTACCATGGCAAATGAGCTGAACAAGTTTAAAACTATGCGATGAAGGATCACACCAGTTGTACCAATATTCGGAGAACAGAGCAGCACATGAAATTGTGTCTTTGCAGGCTATAAAATAACGCATACAGATCATCTTTTTTACTTGGAAGAATCCAAAGGCACGTATGGTGCCATATCATATTTACAGAACCTCCTGACAGAGAGGGTTAAAAAAGAATTACTGCAAAGTGAATGAACAAACAAAAAAAGCATCCATGTGCCCAGAATGTACTTTGTTTGAGACAGAACCAATTGCCACCCCACTGGAATCCTTGTTAGTAGTATCTCCCATGGCCATCACAGAATGTACTAATATGATAGTCAAAATCAGCAAAAGGAGGGCCACTGGCTCCTCAAAAGCACCAAGCCACTCATTCACCCACTGTATGAGATCTATCTAACCAAGCCGTGCATTACGATGAATCTGCGTGCTCACCTACTGTGTCTCAATGAATCAATCTGCTCAAGCTCTACTGCACATTCTGATGGATGATCCAAAACTGACGCTAGTAAACAATGCCAATGAAGTGGGTTACAGATGATGAACGAACGCACCTTGACCTCGAGAAACAGCCTCTTCTCCCAGGCGTAGAGCCTCTCGACGGTGGAGGAGTGGCTGAGGATCCCACTGCCTCCGCCATTGCCCATCATGCCTTCGTCTCCTGTCCCGAACCTGGAGAAGCCATTGCTGCTGCCTTTCCCGTACCCTCCTCCGGCCCCTCCCCACGACCATCCCGTCGGCTTCAGGTTCTTGCCGTAGCTCATCACCCTCCCTGAAGAAGCAAGAATTGATTCCATTGCACGCAGCAAAGATTTCGTCAGACAATTGAGAATGTGAGCGGGATGGACCGATGGAAAATCGAGGTAAGCTGATCTGAGGACCGTTCTTGCCTGGGAGGGTGTTGTTGGCGTTGGGGAGCTCGCAGATGGGGGCCTCGAGCAGCGCGGCGACGCGGGCGCCGGCGTCGGCGGCCTTGAGGAAGTACTCGTCGATCTCGGTGGCGATCTCGGCGAGGTCCTTCTTGCCGGCCGCGCCGCCGCCTCCGCCGCGGGGCAGGGCGACGACGGTGAGCTCGCTGGCGGTGGATGTGGTGGTGGTGACGACGGACGGCGCCGGGGGCTGGGCCTGGGCGGCCTTGGCCGTGACGACGACGGGCGGCGGCGCGGCGCGGGGGGATTCGGCGAGGGAGGTGGCCGCGTCGTCCCAGTCGGCGGCGGCGTCGGCGGGGGAGCGGGAGGAGGATGGCGCGAAGGGGTCCCAGAAGTCCCAGCTGGACGGCATTGGGGCCGGCGGCGGCGGGGGCGGAGGGGG